GAAGTCGTAGTATATATCGTCAAATAGAACTGCCCGGTAAACCGTAGGCAGAGAGGGAGAAGAGGACTATATATATATATATATAGCCCCTCGTTTGTTGTCCTCTTCTCTCTCTCTCTGCCTACGGTTTACCGGGCAGTTCTGTTTGTGACGATATTGTGACGATATATATATTATATATATCGTCAAATAGAATATATATATATATATCTTATCTATCTATATACAGGGTTGCACCGGCGCCGACCGCCCACCCCGACCGCCGACCGTTTTGTCCCGATGGATCAGGGCTGACCGGTTGGTGGTCCGCCGACCAGTCAGAAAACAGGCATCCGCTGTTGTTTTTTTTTTCTGATTGCGCAGCCTTACTGCGCTTGCTGAGTATAGCCCGAATCCGCAGAGAAAGTTTTTGGGATGGGGGAGGGGTATGGGGGGTTGGGGTTGGAGCATACCTGCTGCGCAACTGTGCTGGTCACCGATGGGCCAAAAAAAAAAAAAAAAAGTAAACAAATAGCTCCTCATTAAAATTTTTATCAAACCCCCTGCGGGTTATCCGAGAGGGCCCTGCACACAATCAGGAAGGGCCTCGTTGCCATGAACGAGATAGTAGTCATAGCCATGCTGAAGGTATGGCACGCCAAGTATATATGCTGTTGATTCACTTTAAGGTCCGCGTTTCAGCAGTTATGGGACCACTGAGCACGCGAGTTTCTGGGCAATAGCAGGCCAACTCACCATGTGCTTTTCAGGGCTTCCCTCCACTAAAAATGTGCAAAATGAATATTCTGCTAGAACATGGAACGGTATGCCGCCATATGTTTTGTCTTTTGTGCAAGTGGTGACGAGTGAAGCAAGGCCCTGAGGGTCACTTGTCGTAGGAAAAAGAAACAAAAGAAAATAGAGGAATGAATCTTCTGCTAGAACATGGAACACATACGCCGCCATATGTTTTGTCTTTTGTGCTGGTGACGAGTGGAGCAAGGCCCTTAGGGCCACTGCTCGTAGGAAAAAGAAACAAACGAAAGAGAGAGCTACGGTGGTAAGTAGTTGTAACTTGTAACCCATAACTGCTCGAAAGCAGACCTGACTTCGGATCCAGAGCATATATTCCTGGCCTGCTCTTCTTTCATACGAAATTTGCTGAACATCTCTTGAGATGTTCGGACCCTTGCATATGTACTGCTGGGGTCCTCCGCGAAATAGACTTTAGAAAGGAATACGTGGGCCCTATGTTTTTTTCTGTGGGGAGGTTCGCCATTGGCTATCTCAGCCAGCCTTCTCCAAATTTTTTTTTATACCCTATTTAGTGGGGTGCGTCGCATCGTGTGCGCGTGCACGCTTACCCGTGTGTTATGCGCCGTGTGCGGAGCTCGCGCGCACATGATGCGACGCAGGTATGGGTTGGAGTATAGGCGGAGTGTAGGGGTGATATGGGAAATACTGGGGGCGTTAATAAGGATGTTGGGTGTGGTTCGGGAGTGTTAGGTTGGTGTATGCGGGTATTGGTGGCCGCTATGGGGGTGTGGGTGGGGTTATTAGGGGTTCTGGATCCCCCCCCCCCAAAAAAAAAGGTGCGGGGTGCCGACGATCCCCGACTGCTAGGTGCCGACCCTGTCTCTTATACACATCTAGATGTGTATAAGAGACAGTACACACACACACACACACACACACAAAGGGGGTCCAAAATCCTCCGACAGGCGAGTGCGCTGGGGGGGCCCGCACCCCAACCGGGTGCCCCCCCGGCCAGGCTGCCCGGGACCCCCCCCGGGCCCCTGCCGGTCACCCGGACGGCCCAGATCCCCACTCAGGTTTTTTCCCATCTACTACAAATCAAATCGCATCTTACTTAGTAGACAGTTGCCTCTTAGTCCTTGAGTGAAGGTAGGGAGACTTTGCATTCACCCAGAAAAGCCTGAGTCAATCAATTCAATATATAAATACCAGATATGTCTACTCTTCGTTGCTAATTTCATTATGTATGATATTAATACATATAGAATTGGACACGAAAGAAAAGGCTCGAGTGGAGTGAGCCAGCAACTTTTCAGCTCCAACATTATAATAAGATCGAGGAAAGGGATCTGGATAAACATTGGTGCAAAACCAGAGAAAATTCCACTTAAATACACCGACCAAACTGTGGAAAAATGGGAAAAATCAGTGAGTGTGAAAGGCACTCCCAGGCAATCACCAGGTTGCATTTTTTATTTTATTTTCATCACGTCAGAATTCTATTTAGTAATCCCAAAGACTTGCCTATTAAGAATTTGGAGGACTTGAGGAATTGGTCCCCAGGTCAAGAAAAAGTGTTGGTCACACGATTTGACTGTTGCATTCAGCCATTGGCCAGGTGCGTGAGAAATAACCTTTCCCCTCGACATAGAGACAGTGGAGTATAAAAAAATGTGAGGATTGAGCCCTCGCAGGGCCCCTATCAGACATACAGGTGTTCTCGGCTGTGACCCCCAGCAACCCCGTGCACGCCCTAAGTGAAGGCAGGCTGAATATCCGCGTGAGGACTATTTTCACCATTTTTGGGGAATCAGACAGTTGCAGCACGCCAGTTGGTTAGAGATCAACGTTGAGTCTTCAGGCTCTTTCCAGAAGCAAGGGCTGCGCTGTATGGTTGAGCCCAGGGCTCAGGCCGTTGCATCCTGGGCACATGCTGTGTGAAGCCGACACATCACGGACTGGCCACCAACCAATGAGAGAGTAGCATTGTCGTCACACATGCACTGCGAGCCAATAAGAATGCTGCGCGCACTTGGAGACCGGGTGGCTGCCCGAACGTGCACAACTGCACGAAGTCCAGGCCAGTATCTGAAACTGGGCCTGGGCGCAGACACTTGGGGCCAGAGTCAAGCAACTGGGCGCCCCACATGCGTGGCCAGGCCAGCCAGCAGCAGGCACACTTTCCATAAAGGAAAGTGTGTGCCCCAGGGGGGCGAAAAGTACGTGTCCTTTGCAAGAGCACCACTCAGCTTGGCAATAATGGTATCCATTCGCGCTCATTTGATCATACAAAGTTACAAACTACTCCACTCGATCGATTTCTTCAACTCCTCTCCTGGTGCTTTAAGCCACCAGTTCATGCGAGCAGAAGTTGTGGCCTTGCCGGTATACACAGTAAGACAGCTCCGCTTTGGGCCTGGGTCGGTAGCAAGAGCAGAAGGTCCGCAGTTGCAGGCTTGCGAGCCTTGGAAGGTCGCTTCATCAACTTAGGCTTGTGTGAACTAGCAGTTTAAGCAACATCAACCTTGCCTTTTGCACAGCTGCTCCAGTCGTCGCCATCATCTACATCGTCGGAAAAAAAAAATCCGAACCAGACTACCCCCTCCTCGCACCCTATGTTGCCAACCCGCACAAGGCACAACGAAACAAAGCTCGCATCTCAGAAACCAACAATGTCTGCAGACAGAGTGGGTCCACAAGCTGCAAGTCAAGGAAAAAGAATTAACTCACAGCCTATGCTATCAGTGCAATGAACCTATTAGTTCAACACCAGTGCGCGCACATATTCACACCACATGCATGTACGAGATCACACGAAGTTCACACTGTAGACCAGAAAGATGAAGACCAGGTAGCGCAGCTTAGCTTATGAATTCCAACAAGATATTACAAGAGCAATAACAGTTCCAAGTCACCAGCGCACAACAGCGCATGTCAAGGGAACCAATATCCGGCATACGCTCTCGGAACAGTATCTCTTCGCCACCACTCTTCTCTCTCATGTATCTCTCCTCCTTACTGGTCTTCTCCGTAGCTATGACTTCGCTGTGTCTTCTCTCCCTACATGCATTCACACTCACTATCTACTACTCATGGATCTACTCTGAATACACCCACTGATAAGCCTACTAACTATCTGAAGTCTATCTAACACTCCGCACTGGCACAGCTATGGCTTCCTTCCCACTGCCAGCGCTAAACTTCCTCTCTCTCTCTCTCTCTCTCTCTCTCTCTCTCTCTCTCTCTCAGCGCAGCACTCTGGCTTCAGCGCTCTGCCCTTACCTAAAGCGCACAAGTGCACCAGCATTTCCACGCTTCTTGCGAATGAGCAATCTGATCCGAATGGGAGGCTGGCCAGTCCTTTTGTAGTCTTGAATTGCACTTCAACTCATGCCAGCCTCCGCTTCTTGGGTCTGACTGGGTTCCGGTCCCACAATGGCAAGGCCTGGAATCTTCCCGAATTTCCATTGCTCTGCTGCTGCTTGGGCCTTCGAGTCATGACTTTTCGAGTTTGGCATATGGATTTGACTGTGGATTGTGACTCCTGCCTCCGAGACATGACTCTTGCTTATGGGACTGCCTTTTCACTCGTGGGATGTGACTTTTCGATGTGACTTTTCATTATGGGACGTGACTTCTGCCCCTGAGATGCGTCTGTTTACTGGGTACCTGTTGGACTGGACTGCTGAGGTACCTGACTGTGACTTTTCTGAATTTGACGAATTCGGCCTTTCTTGACTAGGGCCTCTGACCCTATGACGTAAGAGCCGAATTTGGGGTCTGAATCGTGGAAGGCCTTTCAAGACTGGCCGAGGACCACTTGGCCGGTCGGGTTAAATTTGATAAAGAATTTGGATGGGACCCTGAAGCAAAAGTTGTTCAGTTTATTTTTCCTGCAAAATTTGAAAAACGTAGTTTTTTTTTGCAGATTTTTTGGATTTTTCTTTTTCTTTTTTTTTTGGCTGGGTCCTTCCCTGGTCCTTGCACGGGGGGGGGCGCCCGGGAAGACAGGGTGACCCGGGCGGCCCGGCTGGTAGCCTAGCTCACAGCAGATGGTGTCCAGAAAAAAAATCACAGGAAGTCCTTCGGGACATCCCTAAAAAATGGAAACATACGGAGATGATCAGGGTGCAAGGATCGGGGTTAAGCCCCTGCACAAGGATGACACACATAAACAGAGAAAAACAGAAGAAAGCGACAAGGGAAAAGAAAAGGATTACCTAGTGTCCTGCCAAACAGGGTTCACATCAAACTCCGGAAGCAGGAGTGTGGCATTCAGAATGCGTGCAACGGCAACTGCATTACAGATCTGCAAGATATTGGCAGCACCAACCACGGGCAAACGGCAAGCGGAGTCAAGACGAAAACGTCGCCATTTCTAAACTCTGGGGAGAATTACCAAGTTAAAAATGCACCGTACTACATTGTTCTTTGCTTTCTGATCAGATCAAAAGATAGGCAAGACTGAATACAGACAAGGGGGGGCAAATGGAAGAGGGAGGTAAACATGGCGGGGGGAAAGAAGACTGTCTAGAGGCTAATTAAGCCGACTACTCAAAACTTGGCCCTGGGCCATGCAGCCCAGGGCTAATTAAGCCCAGGGATTTTACTAAGCTCATGGTAGGGTTTGCACAAAAGGCAGACGAGAATGAACCGAAGACTCTTTGCGGGGAAGCGTACATTTACTGTCCTATTTTTGAAGATATCAGCCCAGGGCTATGAGGGGATGGCAAGTGGGGAAGTTATTAAAAACTTACAAACTATATTAAAAAAAAAAAAAAAAATACTAAAAAAGCAGAAGTAAAAAAGGACAGCAAGAACAGATTGATGAAACAAGAACGGCAAGAAAAGGATACCAGACTGGCACAATTTAATAATTTACTGTGTGGGGATCCGGGCCGTTCGGGTGACCCGCAGGGGCCTGGGGGAGAGGTCCCGGGCGGCCTGGCCGGGCAGGGCACCCGGTTGGGGGCCGGGCCCGCCCAGCGCACTCACCTGTCGGGGGATTTCGGACCCCCTTTGTGTGTGTGTGTGTGTGTGTGTGTGTGTGTGTGTGTGTGTGTGTGTGTGTGTGTG